GTCTGCCTGTCTGTCTGTCTGTCTGTCTGTGTGTACCTGAGGAGGAGGGAGGGTAGTCAGCGATGGTGTGAATTGTACAGAAGTGTCCTGGTTCCTCTGCCTCTCTTAGGCCTGGGATCTCCACAGTGTGTTATAAAACTCACGTGAAAGATTGGGCTTGGCCCCGCCGACCCCCAGACCCTTCCCCAGGACTCCACCTTTTCACTCAAGCAGGGGCTGTGGGGTCTATGTCACATTGACACAAGATTCAAGAAATGATACTCCTACCATAGGACCATCATAGGGTGGAGCTGTGTGTGTGTGTGTGTGTGTGTGTGTGTGTGTATGTGTGTGTGTGATCAAGCCCTGAGCCGTCATGGTATCTGGAAGGTTGAAGGTCTCAGATGGAGAGTCTGATGACATCATAAGCCATCCTTGAGAGCTGGCCAGTGAGCTAGGCTCTGAGAGCCTGTTGTTCAGAAGGCTGTGGTTGGGAGTCTATCTGGGAGGAAGATGACCTTTGGAGCTAGAGTCTGGAGCCTGGCTTAGGGATACAGGGAGGTCTAAGCTGGCCTGGGGAAGAAGGCACTCTCAGTCTGGGGACCGTTTTGTTCAGCATGCAGTCCCGCAGTGCTGGGTCAGGGTGTAGGTGTCTGACAATGGATTCTTGTTTGTTGGGTTGGGTTGAGGGTTTTGACTGTTAGTGAGCAGGCTGAAGACTGAAGTGTTTGGAGGGGGTTGTGCTATCAACCTCCCCTTCTAGAAGATCTACAAGCCATTGGGGCAGGGAAAGCCATCCCTCTGATCAGCATGGGGTGGGTTGAGGGAAGAGCTGAGGCAAGAAGTGTTCTGAAGATGGAGGCCTAGGCCATGATAGCAGCTGGAGGGCAGGGCAGGGCAGGGCAGGTTAGCCAGGAGGTAAAAACCTCTTCTCCACTGAACTGAACTGTGAGGAATTCATGTTTTGTGGCAGCAGAAACTTCATGCATCTTTGTTTGAGACATCCTGGCCTGGAACCTGGCCTTACCTGTCCCTGAATCTTCTTTTCCCCTAGTTCCTACTGCCCACAAATGGCTGTGACTCCTGGCTAGGCTTCGGAGGTGAGCCTTGGTTATGTGGAGAGCTGGGATTGGGCAAAAGAGCTTAAGCCTTAACTCTACTGAATGACATGTGATATGAGCACTATGGGTGTGTGTGTGTGTGTGTGTGTGTGTGTGTGTGTGTGTGTGTTGTGTATGTGTATGTATGCCCCTGGTTCACCCACTCTGTAAATCAGGGTTCTTGACATGATGGTGACAGGTGACAGGCCAAGAAGAGTCACCTGCAAAGGTCCTGCCTCTTCATGGCTGGTGGTGAGGGGAGGCTGTGCAGGACTTGAGAGCTTGGGCCTTGCATCTGCCTGAGAGAGCAAGGAGGAGTGATGTCAGAGACTGTGGAATGTGGCTTCAGGCTAGGGATCAACATCCTCTCATCCCTTGAAAGCGGTAGAGGGTGCAGAGGCTAGACCAGCAAGCTAGCCCTGTGCCTCTCTCTAGTTAGAAGCTGGCAGGGACCTCCAGCCCAGATGGTGAGGCCTTTAGGATGGAGAGGGGGGCATTCGGTAGTAGGGAAGATCTGGGGTTCTGGAAAGAACCCCTGGCTTTTATTCCAGGAGTCTGAATTTGACCCATCACTGAGGCATGGGGTGTGGGAAGGCATTGTCACAGAGGGCTCCTAGCTGTTTAGGCACCACACAGTAACTGTTGGAAGGATAGTAGACATAGTGGGACTGTAGATCCGGGTCTCCATGACTCCCAGCAGTCCTGGAATGGAGCTTCTGGGAACCCTAGGGGAAAGAATGTCTTGTTCCAAGCCCTTGTTTCTGTGTGGTGACTCACAGCCAGGACATGTGGACATCTGTCCCACTACTCTGGTCCATTCCAGACACAACTTTCAGAAGAGAGTTCCAGAGAGTGGCCATGGGGGCAAGCTCAGGTGGGCAGTCAGGGTAGAAGTAAACTTGATGGGGAGCTTGGGGCTTGGGGAAGGGCTGGTGGTGATGGCGGAGGCTTCTGGGGTGAGGACTAGCGACCAGGGTTGAGGGGCCATGGAGTTGGGTTGGGGTTGGGCTAACACTTGAATTTGGGGTGTGAGTGTGGCAGTGTGAGGTCAGGGTTTGGGATGGGATGGATTTATATCTGAAATGCTGAGAGAGGGGTTGGCTTGAGGTATAGTTTAGATGGGGTTGGGCTGGCACTGTGCTAGGTGGATGAGGAACACTAGGGAGGGGTGGGCTGACAATGGGGCCTTGAAGAGCAATCCCTATTGGGCCTTTCTTCTCCCTTTTGCTGGGTCTTTTTAAGCTGTGATCTTGGCTGGCGATTCTAAGGGAAGTAGGGCCCCTCTACCTTGGGGCACCTTGCAATGGACCCTAGGCACTAGGTCTAGCGACACGTGGAACAAGGCCTGTGATGGGCCTCAGGCCTGGGGCTTCTTTCCAGGAAGAGCCCTGGCTCTGTCCTCCTTGCTATCTGCCCTTCTGCCTTGGTGTGTTCTCTCACTCTGGACCTTGTCTGGGCACTTTGGCTCCTTTGGGCTGTGGCTGGTGGTGGGCTCAGCAGAGTGAGGCCTACTCTCCTTGACAGGCTTCACTCCCAGCTGTGGGTGGTGAAGCTGGGCCTGCACCTCACCTGACCTGAACCATATGGGCTACCTGAAGACTTTGCTGTCCCATCTTGTCACGGTTCTCACATTCTGAGGGCCTAGAGTCAGGGCTATGTCTGCCCAGTCTGGACTGGGCTGGGCCATTCCTTCATGGGGAAATTTCTCTCCTGTTTCTATTACCCTCCAGGTTTAGCCACTGGGGAAGCCAGACACTGGACTTGATGCCCAGGCTGGGTTGTAGTTTGGTGTCCTGGTGGGCTGAGATCTTATCCTGATCCCAAACTGTCCAGGCTCCCCTGGCCCAACTCCTAGTCCCTCAGCTTGACCTAATCAAATGAGGGGTTGTCTCCCTGTTACCTCTGCTGTACCCACTTGAGTGGGATGGGATGGGATGGGGTGGGGGTGGGGAGGTTTGTGATCCCTTGGAGAGAGACCATTAGAGACGGGTGGGGGCAGGTGTGTCTCTGAGTGATTCAGGCTGGATGCCGAGGCCCTGAGCTGGTGGCTTTTTTCTACCACTGGCCTGGCAGGTTCATGCCCCAGCTCTGAGTCACCAGGGTGTGGTCAAGCCACCTGGCAGCACAGTACATACACATGGCTACACACCTGGATTAGGGCATTGTGTCCTGGGTACAGAGGGACCTGGCTGGTGATATGGTACTGGTGTTGGTAGTGCTGAGTGTTCCCAAGATGTCCCTTAGTGACTAAGGGCCTCTGTTTCTGGGGCAGCATCAACTCTGGAGAAGGGCTCAGCCTTCTCCCTACTCCCTACCTGAGGAGCAGGCGTTCTTATGACAGGGGAGGGAGGAATTGCATGGGGTTTGGCACCTGCAGGTGTAGCAGAGACCCTGAACAGCACACATTTCTTAGGTACCCTGCGAAGGGCACCCATGGGTACTAAATGCCGATTGCTTTGGTGTCAATTCTGGGTGCTTCTTAACTCTGTGAAGGCCCCATGTTTCCACATCACAGAGGTGGATCTGAACTGTTGTTGTCCAGTCACATGGCCAGTGAGTGCCCAGCTGGAGCCTCCTCACTGTGGAGGGCTTGAGCCAGATGTGAGGACATCTGTGCTGCTGTC